TCCCATGCAGTTGCACGGCGGCGAGCGAGCGCCGCCCGCTGTCCACGCCAGGAGCGCCACCAGCGCCAACCGGGTGAGCGCCACGTACATGTTGACTGCCCGAATAAAGGCCCATCCATAATGCAATCGTAAATATAAGCATAACGCATAGACATAAACATTAACGTAAGTAGTAGACTGAAGTATTCACAATGACGAACATAAACGTAAGCAAAATAAGAGTTTCTATTAGCTGTGAGGCATTCTAATTTACTATTGGTCGGATGTGAATATCGATTTTGAGGTATCGACTGTGTCCGTGGCCCGTATGGCGTTAGTTCGTCTATCGACTTTGCTTCTTTTTCGATTCTCGATTTTGAGTACACGTACTGGGATTGGTTCATTTCTTATGTCTTACTTAAGCATAAGCACAGAAGTTTGAAGCTTGCATTCTTTTAAGTTACCGTCGTACGTGTTATACTTATTCGAACGCATTTGGAATGAGTTCGTTTATGGACGTAGTCCTAACTTTTATGTCAGTGATATGCTTATGTTCGTGTTTGCTTTGTGAATGGGTCTCAGGGAAAAACAAACTCAAGAGGTAAACAATCTACTTATTCATAAGCCGGAAGAGACTTATTATAAGCTGTCCCTTACCGGCTTATTAATGAGCGGGAAGGGTTCTGTAGAACAAAAGGCTAACCCATAGTTTTTGTGAAATTGAGTAAAAATCGTCCGTTTAATTTAGGATTTTTTTCGAAAATTATGTAAAGTCACTGTTATTAACTCATATTCTTTTGCCCACCATATACTTTAGTACCTTTTCGTATCAAAAGTAATACAACTCCGTTTAGGACTTTATGCCAAGTCTGTGCATGGTCGAAATTATTAGCATGACAATATTTATCAGCCCGAAGATCGGGCCACTAAATAGAAGTGATATGTCGATGTTGATGACAGGACACAAGCTTTATGAAAATACACAATTATAAACTGCAGTTTATATTTGCTCATTACCTCACCTTGTCGCAAGTGGTGTAACTCCATTTAGGCCCTTAAATTAAGTCTATTACTGAACAAAATAAACTATAATTTTCAATATAAGTTTAAAAAGTCTCTAAACACATATGTGCAAAACAATATAAAATAACAAAACCTTTTTATAACACTAGAATAATATAAAATATATGGAAACAAAAAAATTGGAACTTGGACTTTGAGGAGCCCAAACACCTGACCTGCTATTCGCCGTTTTGAATGGATAAAACGAAGGAAATAGTAAATGTAAAGAATGTAAATGTGTCAAACTGTATTCTGCTGCTCTGATAGTTTTCAAAGGGTAAGGAAATGGTGTTGCACTGTTTTTGAAAGTGTAAACTTTCAAATTGACTAAAAGGTTGATTTATTAAAAACGTATCTTAGCTCGCAAAACTCCAATTACAAAAGAAATTATATAACTAGCAACCCAATTTTCTTAAAATATTTTGACAATGACAATCTAAAGTGTTTAAATGTTAAAAAAAATTAACAATAATCTCTTTCAAATCCCTATGTTTTACATACAATTATTATACAATTTCAAAGTATAATTAGTTCAAATACCTAACATAAATTATCAACTAAAGAATTTCTTTGGATTTAGCCTACCAACCACATGCTTCATTGACAGTTTTATCTTCATAAATCGTCCCAAAATATACAAGTATCTCTAATACTCAATAATGAAGAAGAAAGTAATTTATCCTTCGAATCTAAAGGGACGTAGATTATTTTTAAGCACTCTGGAACCAAAATAATATCATGAGATGTTTTCAAGAACAAACAATTAATTAAAATTTAACACCATCTCAATTTTATTATCAACATACAATGTATTAATAATATATAGAATATAATACTAATACGAGTATGTAATAATATATAAAAATATTCTACCAATCATTTGGGAATCAAAACAGAAAATATGACTTAAAAAAATAAGTTTCTTCCATTTTCAACACAATGTTTGAATGAGTTTTTTGTGCTCAGTTTATTTTGTTATATTGCTACATGATATGAGAGAATATAAAATATAGTATCCTGTTGCGTAACGTTTATCTTCTAACCCTTTTGTTGTTGATATTTTGATGTCATAACGACTCAGATTTTGCTGATCACTGTATACTGCATGTTTTTAGTTGCTACAAAAAATATCACCAATACTGTTGGATAGCACATGTGAACAAACTTGCTTTCAAAGTTACTTACTAAGAGAGTTACTAAGAAATTCACAGAACAATTGATTGCACATTAACCAATCTTATCATTAAAATTAGTTAATGAAATATAAAAATTACCAACCTAATCCATGCTATGACGAACGAACGGGGACGTAGAAGAGTTATAACCGTCAAGTACAACAAAGCACTTGATGGAAAATCGAAAAACTCAGAATAATGCTTTCATGTCGTTCATTATTTACCTACAAGGCTAATAAGAGATTTACAAATTTTGGAACGATAGAATCAATATTCACTCTACACATACAGTGGAACAAATGTTTGAAAATGTAACTGGATTGTTAAATTTTACCAAGATCTGGATACTTAGTGCGGTTGGTAGCAGCAAATGTGCTCTCAGTCCAAAACTAAGAAACGTGCGCAAAGGGGAGGGGAACTTTGTCCCATCTCAGAACTTTGGAAGGAACCCTGTAGCATTACATTATAAAATATTTTAAATGCGTGAATATGTTTAATCGCTTTTACACGACAATTTGGAGAAATGATTCGTTTTGATAAGAGACTCTCCAGGGCATCTAGCAAACCTGTGTATGTTTCCACTCAAAATCAATTATTTTCTTTTCTTTATACTGTGCACACGAAATGGTATGGTTCACGAAATTAAATTAAAATTTTAGATAAAAATAGATTTTCCCCAAACATACTCTAATTCTCACATGTGGTGAAACTATTTTAGTATCAGACATTTTAAATGGTTTATCGGATAAATGAATAAAACTCATTTCAACAAAGAGGCACATATTTTATTTGTGAACTACGAAAACGACTTTTGACACAGGTGATAGATATATCTTGTTAAGTGTTTTGGAACGAAAGGACATACCCAAACTTGTAATTGAAGTAATAAAGAGTATGTACGATAATTCAGAGATCTCCATTAAAACATGAAAAAATAACAGGAAAGGTATATGGAGGATTAAGACACGGCTTTAGTCTGCTTCTAATTGCATTTGATTTATTACGTAATAAGAGAATCCCCAAGTGAGTGGATATTGAAGTTAATTTTTTTAACCATGATCTCTGATGTAAAACAGTACCGTTTGCAAATCAACAAACAAAAGTAGCAGGTAATGAAAATGATTAAAACGAACCCTCTTTAAACTCTAAAAACTAATGAAATCATACAATTCATGCATTTTCTTTAAAATACAACAAAAGTTGTGGGATTTGAAGGAACTAATACCATATGACCAACATGTAATAAAATGTATTTAAGTAACTAGCTTTAATTTCCTGGGATGAAATATTTTATACCTCAGAGAAATAGATATTAAGAGCAAAGTACCATAAAAAGGACATTGGGTAATAACATCAAGAAATAAACATAAACTAAATTTTATAAAGTTATGAGTATACCAAATTGCTAATATGAAAACAAAAATTGGCCTTCAACAAAAAATGGTGAAATGAGGTTGCAAAGTGCTGAAATGTGTTTCCTGTGATTAATTGCAGGATATACAATTTAAAGAAAATAAATATTAGAGACGAGAGGAACTTCACATATCCAGCTTGCAAAACAGAATGGAAGTATACAATTATGAATTCCTGATATAAATATATTATGTGAATGGATGACAACAGGCGATCCACACTAATACTATCATACAACCCCAGGGGAAGGAGAAAGCCCGGCCCCCGAGGTCAAAATGGAAAGGGGGCGTGGCAAGCGAAAGCCTTACTACCTGAAGAGGAGGAAGGGAAGAAGAAGAAAAAGAGGGGGAAGAAGAAGAGAAGAACTATAATTCCGTAAAATTCTCACTTACCTTTAACAATGGCTGACGGATGTCGAAATAATATAGTAGATTCGGATTCTAATCCATGGCAATAACGGTCTGCGCGCGTGAATCTCTCGCTGTCGAGTGTTCTGCAAGTGAGGCTCATGATGCGAATTGGCGCTTCCGCTAGAAGGGGGACGGAAGTTGGTCATGTGACCCTTCCACTTTGTCACAGTCGACGACCGCCGGCCACTTTTTTGCTTCCGGAGCTGAAGGCCGCAGAGGGTATTTGCCAACATCATGCTCGCTAGGCAGCAGAAGTAAAAGAGTCGGTCCGACAGGGCTTGAATGAAAACATTTCCGACGATGCCATGAAGGGTTGGTAGTTATACGATTCCTAGCTGAAGATCGAAGCTTCCCGTAAAGGAATGACAAATGTATGGCAAATAGTGATTTTGTTATGAAAAGATTTCTATGCAGTTTTCAAAAATTATTTATTTAAAAAAAATACAACCAATCCATCCCTGTTATAGGGATGATTAGCATATGTCTTGGGGTGAGTTGGCATTAGAATGGGCAAAGTTGTCACACTCTGTGAGAGCGTGGATGAATAAGTCAACGTCAAACAAATGTAAACAAACGTACACAAATAAATGTAAACAAGATTATCACCGTTCGGTGTTGAAAATCAGCCTCACATAAGAAAGAAAAAAATAGCCCCCTAGTACAGCAGATAGTTTCAAAATGAATTTAAAAATGAGTTCGTAATTTGATTTAGTCAAGTCTTTTACCACTGTTTAATAACAATATGATTATTCTCTTCTTTTGGAACATTGAGTAAATATTGAGGTAAACTGATTTAAGTATTTCTAGTTGCACGCTCAAGAGAAATTAAACTTTCGATAGACGAGCAAAGTAAAATTAATAATTGAGCACTTTCAGGCAAAGGATCGATTTAGAAAGAGGTATGCAAACTGCATTAGAGATTCTCGTAAGGAAGTTTTGTAGCCCAAACATTTTGCGAAAATTATGAAAATATTCTTAAGTTGGGCACTGTTGATGCCTTTTCTTCTCATTGGTTCAAATACGTGCCCCTTTTATAGAAGAGATTTCACTACCTATTGTGTGATTAATGTAATATGGTCCTCTCTTCATAATGTATGCGTGTTTTCTCTACTACAATCAATTACGCAAGCAGAATATTAGTCCAACTGAATATTAGTCTATATTCTCCTTCTATTCCTTTATACAAGAACAACTCTTGAAAGATTATCTCTAATAGGGAAAGAACAATTTGCAATTTTTGGGGGAAATAGTACAGGTTAGTTGACATATTCACGCCAGTTTCATTCAGACTTCATGTTCCACACAGTGGATTACGACCACTATCATCGCATCCCGCCCCTGGTAATGAATTTCAAAGCATAAATAATGGCAAGCCACGCACAAAAACATCGATTGCGGCCTAAGCCTTTGTTTTATTCGCCTCGATTCTTTAACATTCATGTCGCGGCGTGTCCGTGTCAAACATTCCATCGCTCTTCGATGTTTCATGTGATGTTACAACTCCCCTCCCCCGCGGGGCAGGAGCGAAATCGGAGAGAATGAGGGACGTGGAATTGGTGCTGCATGTCGAATTAAATATAAGTTGTGATGCTAACAAGCAAATCGAACTAGGATAGTATGAATGTATTGATAGTTCCAGTTTCATTCATTTAATTTCATTTTTTTAGAACTCTTGGTAATCTTTTAATCAGATTCTATGTGTGTCTACAAGTGAAAACATACGTTTTTTTTACTCTTTTCGCTCCGAATTGATCTGACTAAATTGCATTGTATTATTCTCAGCGCTATTTACTGCCATACTGATAGATGGTCAGTTAATTCATTGTTCATACTGATCTTTACTATCAAATTTTGTAATTACTTCTCCAGTAACTTCGGCTCAAGGCCTGATACAAACATTTTCGACATTGTTTATTACTGCACTGCACCCTTTATTACTGCATGCCCTTAAAAAATGTGTTAGTGTTCTGGCGCAGCGACGACGCGTTCAATATTTCATACTCATAATGTAGAACCAGATAGTTGCAACATCCTCGTACATCGATTTTCAGTTATTTTATGTATTTAAGTAACTAAAAATGTCATTGTGGTCCATGACCGATGCGTTAATGAGTAGATGGTAGCAATAAGTGCGTCGATGATTTCAATTATGATGAAAAAGTGGTGGAACGAGAGTCAAGATAAACGGGAAGACATCAGAAAATCTGGCGACAGCTCGCTTAGTCCACCGTTTCTACATGAATTAATCTGGAACGGACCTGGGTAATATCATTCATCCCAGTGACCTTTTCCTAGACACTCCGTTTGGTTGACTGATTCCGGACGCATCAAATGGTAAGGTCATTAGTCCCGTAAGAGTAGTGCATTGTTATTGTTGGAGGTGAAGGTGGTCTCTCCCTCTGGTTGGCGTAAACCTACCAGTCGGCTCCCCAACCAGCAATCTCCCACCACCGCCCTAGCCGAGACAAGCTCTAAGCTCCCGATTGCTATCCCAGCGTGTGTGGTAGTGTAGTGCATGTAAGTATGCCAGTGAATGGTGAGCGATGGACATGAAAGAGGAAAGAAAGATCACTGACAGTTCGTGACCATTGGTTAGGGTACTGCTGCATTTTCATGTAGCTGATAGGAAAAACCACCGATCAGAGCAGTCAACCGCTCCAATTTTCCTCCAGACATCGGCTGAATTCGATGGACCCGCCGGTCAGAGGCAGAGCAGTGACATCAACTGATGCCCTGAGCCACCTAAGGCAGTAAACACTAGGAATTTTCCTCCTCGTTGCAGTGCTTATCGCCGGGCAGAGCAGAGCGCGGTCATCGTCCGCCGCCTCCGCCAGCGCTCCAAATGCGCGTCAGCGTACTTCCGACCGGCGCGCCGGGAAGCGCCCGGGGCCCGACCCCCCGCACCCACACACACACACACAGACACACGCACGCGTACCGGTACACACGCGACCTCCGACCACGCGCGGACTGTGCCTTTGCAGAAGGAAACAAGGGGCAAAATTCACCACTTCAATTGTTGGATTGATTGTTTAGAAATTACTCGCACGACAACTGCTAAGGTCATTAGCCTCCATAACTGTAGTCCATGATTTTATGACGGGAGGTCTCCTCTCTCTTCCATCGCTGAATGGTGAGATCCAGCGACGACCCACCCGTCCCCAACAAGATATCCTCGACCATCGGGGCACCACCCCAGCCGGGACAAGCTCTAAGCTCCCGACTGATCTCCCGGCATGTGTGGTAGTGTAGTACAAGGGGCGAGGACAGAACAAGGAAGAGGAAGGAAAGATTGCTTGAAGTACGTGGCCCATTTGATAGGATATTGCTCCGGCTTTTGCCTGATATCGATCGGTGAAACCCTGAAGAACTACTGATCAGAGGAGCCTGCCGCTAGAATTCGTCCCCAGACACCCGCTGAATTCAACCTACCTATTCAGCTACTGTCGAAATAGTTCTACCGCCGGGACTCGAACCATAGGACCTCCCGGTCAGAGACACTGCAGTGACATGACTTGATGTCCGGAGCCATCTAAGCCGGTATGACTTCCAAGTTCATCATTTTACTGACCTTACTTTCAACCACGTGTGCCAGATGCCACAAGATGGTTGGAAACACGAAAATAGTTGGAGACGCAAACTGTTTTCCTTTTCTTTAAAATTGTGCCATTTACGAAATTCAAGAACCTGTAGTTTAAACTATGATGGCTTATAACTAAGAGCGCATATTTTTTTCGAAAATCTGCCCGCGTGCCATCTTTTCTTTATCATTCTCGTCTTTTACTGTATTGTACGGTATTATTATTATTATTATTATTATTATTATTATTATTATTATTAATATGATTATTTTTATTATCATCATTATGATTACTATTATTATCATTATTATTATCATTATCATTATTATTATTATTAATGTAAGTTATGTAATTTTTGCAATTATTATTACTTAACTGCCACCGGTTCATACCCAATTGCAGTTCTAATAAATGTATGTATGTATGTATGTATGTATATCCTCACCCCTTACCTACACACACTTACACTAACATGGTCTACACTACCATACATGCCGGAAGACTGGTCGGGAGGTTAGAGCTTGTCCTAGATATGGCGGTGCCTCGCAGGTGGGAGATGCCTGGTTGGGGAAAATTTCGCCAGCCAACATACGTCGGCGGATTTTGCCATACAGCGAGGAAAGATCACCGCTACCACCCCAGGGCAAACATTCCCTACACTTATGGGAATAATGACCTTAAAAAGTTGACGCGCTTGGAATCACTAATCAATCAATCAATTGAAGGGGTTGACTGGACCGGTGCAGTTGATTCTTGATTTAATTATATCGCCTTAAAATATATGCCTCACAATTTATTATTCCAAATTAATCTTTTGTTAAGAAGAAATACAATAAGTACGGTGCAATGCTCTTTTCACCCGCTTCGAAGATCAAAGTCTCACAATATAAAACAAAACTGCTTAACGTTGGTTAGATTCTTAGCCTTCTAGTATTACACTATATCGTAAAAAGAACAAGAAGCAGTCACCACTGAATGTGCCGTTAACTAAGCAGGACCACTGAATCTGGCCCTCACTTGGCGTGCTACAACGCTACTGTTGGGAATTTCTTTTAAGTTATTTTTGTCACTTTTTTTTTTCCAACCCGGACCACTGTGTAACGCCGCCATTGCGATTTGGTTATTATCTCCAGGGCATCGCTCGGTCTCCTAAATTGCTTGTTCTAATTTTTTCGCGTTTCCTCTACTCTACCGTTATCGCGCGTTTTCCCCTGACTACAGCATTTTTATCAAAATACTGTTGCCCAATTTTCCGATGAATGACGAGGAAGTGCATTAAAAGTGGTCCTTGAGAGACTCTAAAAATTATTTTCTATTAACCTATTTTCATTTCTCAGTTGCGTCCATTATTCAGGAATTTCTTCTTTGATTCTATCAGTTGTTAATACACGAAACTAAAAAGTAATAATGAGTGTTACGTTCCCACAAAACAAGACATTTAATTTTACTGTAAACTCTTTACTCTCTTTAGCCTAAGGACAAGACCAATTAATAAATATGCAATCAATTCTAGCTGATA